CAGCTACGGAAAGGGGCACCTGGCTGGTACCTGTGCTTTGAAGGCTGGAAGTCCTGCTGGCTCAGGACTGAAGTGGTTGATGGGTAGGCAGGTTCCCTCTCCAGAGCTTCCAGACGGTGCCCAGGAGAATGCTCAGGAAGCCAGCTCAGAGGCAGACATTTCAGCATCTGTGAGCAAGGACTCATTAGTGACCCAACGCCTTAGACCTGTAATTAAAGTGCTGACCAACTGCATGCCTGGGTGATCCTTCCCAAACACCCCTACTTCTTGCTTGCCATCCATCTCTCTTTCTTAAAGGGAATGAGACCCCGGGATTTTGCTATCACCTCTTGAATCTTCTCCTGGTCCCCTTCCCCCCACCAACAATTCCAGCATTCTTGATCACTCCCCCTTGAACATTCACAAAACTGTCTCCAATCCCTGCCCACTAATGCCGGAGAGCAGAGCTAAGAGGAACCCATGGATCTGAGGTGTTGCTTCTGGGCTTGGGAGGAGGGGGAAGCCACCAGTTCTTTTTCAGGAAGGTGGGCAGTTGCTCCCAGTAGAGGCTACACATCCACGCTCAGGACTATAGGTCCTGCTGGGTCCTGTCACTGGAAAATGCAGAGAACACATCCAGCAGGTGATGACAGCACGCATGAAAATCTGGGCACTGACGAATAGTTGCACAAGGCTGCCTGGCTCCAATCTGAGGAAGTTAGCTGGTGCAACTTCTCCAAAGACTGCAAATGGCACACCAGCGGGGAAAACTGCAGCTCTGTACTGTACCCGCTGGGAACTCTCCTGACTATGTGACTATGTGACTAATGTGACTATGAACTGAATCTCTGACAGACTATGTCATGGCCACTCATCACAGCCCTGAGGAACACAACACGTAACCCGCATGTATTAACAAACTGCTTGCCAGGCAAGACGGATGTGCTGGGCATCATTATTAAGAAGCAGGCCTGACCCAGGAGCTGGGGTTATAGTGGTAGGTAAGGCGAGGGGGGCCCTGGCCTTTAAGGAACCCACACTAGGGGGAGAAACAGATAGCATATGTCCCAGTAAGATTACAGACAAGTGAGACAGGTCACTTCAGGTCTGAAAGATGATCTGACGAAAACAGGTGAATACACGGGCCCCGGACTGCATGATACTCATGATTCTAAGTGCTCACTAAAGGGGGGTAAGGGGTGGAGTCTCCCCTTTCTTTGCTTTTGTAGCCATTCACCAGGATGGTAATTTCTTGTTTAATCTATCCTTCCCGGCTTATCTGAAAGCTCATCACTATTTCCCCAGCACCTAGCAGTCTGACACATGGTGTGCGCACAAGAACAATAAAAATTGCTTCTTGAATGAATGACTGAATGAGATAAAACCAAACTAAACTTTAGGCATAAAAATGTATTAGAAATGTACCAACAATTAAATAATAACAATTATTCTTCAATGGTGGGAAACATGGGTAAGATTTCAAAAAGTCTATTCTTTCATTTTTTTAACTTTGCTTTATAGATCATAAATTACTTTTATTTTGACTAAAAGAATGTACTTAAAAGATCAAGTAGTAGTTACACATGTTATACTGTCACTACTGTGAAAATATGGAGTTACTTTTCCAAGAGTAAACAAAATAATGTCATTTAGAGACCGGATGGATTAAGTATGACCACAGGTGAGTGTGCACCCTGGCTCTCATCCCAAGCCTTTCCAGAAGTCGCCTTTTTACCGCATCCAAGGATAATCACTGCCACAACCACACCACCCCCACTCACCCAACCTGGCCCAAGGCCCTTTTCTTTCCACTCCTGGAATCATCAAACAGGAATTCTGCAAGGGTGGGGCAAGTATTGATGGATCTGCGCTTTGCTGAGTTTCTTGGATGACAAGAGCAGCAACTGGTTGCAGATGGGGAAGGAGGTGAGGCTAGAGGAGGGACAAGGCCCAAATGACCCTGAAGTTAGAGTTGTAACAATGGGCGAGATATTTGTCTTCTCTTTTATCAACTGAAGCTGAGTCTTGCCTATTTGGACCCTATTCGAATTTTGCCATCAGGCTAGTCATGTGCAACTTCCACTACCTATCATGCAGTAACTAATGCAATGAAGATTGTGCCATGATCAGGTGAGCTCCATGATTAGCTCACCAAACTATTTTCAGGCAATTTTAGCAAACCCGTCTGTCCTGGGGAAGTCATTAGACCTTTTGCTACCTGTGTGTGGTGGTGTTTTTACTCAGGTGCAATGTGGACAGCTCACTGTACACCTTTCTTCAGAGAAGATATGGGGAAGGGGAAGAACAGACATTCTCAACAGTTAACTTTGACTGAGGCTTCTAAGTGTCCCTTTCCTGCTCTTGACTAAGGCCTTAGCTGCCCTGGAAAAAGTACCTGGGGCTACAGGTTCAATTCCAGGAAATTCCTTCTACCTCCATGTTAAACTACCACCTCTGGTTCAACTGTCTGGTCCATCCTGGACCTTTTACAGGGATTCTTAGTGTGCCTAGTTCCCTGCACACTAATGGCTTGCTTGGAATGCTTTCTTTGCTTTGGATTTTTCTTCTGAACTCCAAGGGACCCCGTAACTTGATTTTCTGCCCCAGACTGAGGTGCTGTACCCCAGGCTCCTGAGGTGATTGGTTATACCTACTCTTGAGCTCCTGGAATCAGCCACCAGGGCCACTAGCAGCAAAACCAAACCATAGATTAGCCTTAAGTTTGTTCTCGAACCACAGTGATGCCACATCCTCAGGCCTGAACACAGGATATGGCCCAAACTAAAAGCAGGCATTTGGTGCCTTTCAAATGTCACAGAGATCCATGCGAACAGCAAGCACCACTGAAGCCACTAAATCTACCAGGCTGCCTGGCTCCAACATGAGGAAGTGGGGAAAATGCCTCCTGCCCAACTGAGCACAGCTTCTGCCATCCTCCTCTAGAATTCAGGAAGCCCATGTGCTCTGAGGTTGGAGGTCTTAGCTGTACTATCTCAAGGGGACAGTACAGATGCTTTGGCCATTTTTAGAGACATATCTAAATACAGCAAGAAGATAAACACAGGCCCATGGAAATATTTCAGTACCTACCCTCCTGATTTATTTAGTTGTTCAAACAGAGGCTCTTTCACCAACCTGGCATTGAGATGACAAACAAATAGAAAATGTTTAATCTTTTGAGCTGGGCCGTAACATACCAGACCTTGAGCAGATATTGACAAAGTCAAACGTGACTCCTTTCTGCTCACAGCCTCTGATTGGCTACAAGGCACCAGTTAATGAATCTTACCTGCTCTGCTGCTGGAGGCTGCTCCACCGAATGTGCCCCCAAATGCTGAGTTCCTAACAGTTGTGTTCATCCTGAGACCACAGCTAAACAATATGCTTCCTCTGCCTCGTATTTAAAAACATCTTAGTCTTGAGTCACCACAACTGTCCTGGGAATCACTAGGAAACCCAAGTTATCCACTAGCCCAGTTTCCCTAAAAGGAAGTGGGGACTGCCATTTCTTGAGTGCCTTCTATGTGTTCTGGAGACAGCAGTCCACAGCTGTGGGAGACCAACGGGGCCGAGAGCACCAGCTGCTTTGATCTTGTTCTGTTGTGGGTGGTTCCTCTCATCACAAACATCTGTGGGGGTACGTCCCCCCCTAAAAGTATTAGGCTAAAGTAAGGCTCCTGAACCCACACTAGTGCCTCCCAACCAGTCACAGGAGTGACGACCATCCAAGATGCAGGTAGAGGGTCAACTCTAAAGCAAGCACAAAAATAACAAGTAAATTCTTAATTGTAGAACCATCAAGAGGGTATACAGATACTCATTACACAATTCCTTCAATGATTCTGTATAACTATTTTCCTAGTAAAATATTGAAAACAACTTAAACTAAATGAAGCACTACAGAAAGATAAGCACTTCTAATACAAGTCAAAAACCTGTTTCTTTAAGAAAGAATCTTTTCAGAACCTTCTGATCAAAAAAGTCCCATCACTGATAAAAATCAGAAATATTTAACTCTGATTTCCAGGATGATAACAATAGATTACAACTGATAGAAAACAGTATCAGTATATAGTGGTGTCACAGGCAAGAGGGGCAAGTGGAACCCATTCAGCATGGGCTCACTCAAAAAAATGGGAGCCACTGAAAGCAGAAAACCTCAACGTGTCAGTTCTTTTCCATTCTAACAACTGGCAGTCACATTAGCCAGATGACCGCAGAATTAGCTTGCTACAAGAGACTACAAGGCTCAATGGCAGTAGGGCAGTAAACAGATTAAGGCCTGATCCTCTGCCCTCAAAGAACCTTGACCCACTTCGCATGAGGAAAGGAAACTGCTGTGGTAAAATAAGTTAAGAGGCTGTGGTCAACAGAGACACTATGGTAAGTGGGGTAGCTAATGGTAACTGCGATGAGTGACAAGAGACCTCAGAAGACACCTGCATTAACAGGGAGCTACACAGTTAAGGTGTCAGTCACATGTGCTTTTCTTAAAAATGAAGTAAAATAAAATTCAGCTCTTTCTTTGTGACCCCAATCTAGGTTCTGAATGGCCAGGACTCTAGCCCAAGTTCAGTGCAGTAAACCAGAGACAATTCACTAATCCACAGGTGTTTCAGGAAAGAACATTTGGAGGCTATCTCCATACCCTGCGCCTGGATACAAAGGACAGTGGGTAAGTAGGATGGGCCATGGTATGAGGATGGCTGGAGATGAACAAACCGTCCCCTCATAGAAGGGATTAGACCCAGGCATCCTTGGAATCTCGCAAAGTAAAGGTTTAGGCTGTCCCAGCCCAGCTAAGCCAGAAACTGAACTTCTGAAGGTCAGCGGTCTCTGGGACAACGTAAGCAGAAACTCCAGGTTCTGTCCCTATGTGCCTAATGGATGCAAGACTTGTTCTGAGACTCCCCACATGTAGGCTCCTTTGCAGTCCCTCAGTCGTTGGGGGTCATGGAATTGGAACTGGGGTGGGGTGGGGGTGGGGGTTCTCTCTAACTGATCATAAGAGGCAACCTGGGTTCTAGGGTCGGCTTCACCGGTCCGAAGTGCTTCGCTGGGCAAGGGCGAGGGCAAGGGCGAGGGCAAAGGCTAGGGCTCCGGCAGGGTTCGTCGTGGGGCGAAGGGCCAGGAGCGGATGCGGTAATAGCAACAGGTGATAAGCCACACCCGGAGAGAAGTTTTCCGCTGTGGAGCCCAGAGTAGCCCAAGTGCCCCTGACGTCCGGCCAGACCCCCATGGCACTTACGCGCTCATGAGTCCAAGGCTTGGCAGAACCGAAACTTTCTGGGGCCAAGCGGAAGAGTACTGGAGGGTGCTGTGCGCGGCCATGATGCGCAGAGCCCGCTGCGGCGGGGCAAGGACTACAACTCCCGGCATGCTCTGCAGCCCGAAGCCTACAACTCCCGCCGGACTCCATGGACAGAGGGGTGAGGACTACAACTCCCGGCATGCTCCTCAGGACCGAGCTTCGAAAACTTCCCAGTGGTTGGTCCCAAGCCCAACTCTGCCCCTTGGAACTAACGCTAGGTTAACCCTTGCGATCCCGGCCTCCATGTGTGCCCACAAATCATAGGTCTGCGATTTAGAAAGCGGCTCTGACCGTGTGTAGCTTTTGGGAACTTGAAATGTGGCTAGTTTGAGCTGAACAATGCGTGTGCCGTAAGTGAAAAATACACCTGACTTCAAAGACTTCGTAAGAAACAAGAGTGTAAATTAGTTTTTAACATTTTTATATTAATTACATGTTGAAATATTAATAATCTTTTTAATATATCGTATTAATAGAAAGCATTATTATTGATGAGCTTAATGACACATCTTTTGATTCTCTTCTTTTAAAGATTTTTTTTTTTACGATTTATTTATTTATTTATGCATACAAAAACTAGGGTATGGGCCAGAGGTGCAGGAGGGTGAGAGGATTCACCAGAGACAGACAGGGGAGCAGAACAGGCGGACTGACCGAAATACATTGTTGAGGGGAGCAGCGGGTGAGACAGGTGAGGTCTGCTGCGCCATGTGGGTAGCCCCCTGGCAGGCGGGGGATTGAGCTCCTGCTGCCAAAGCTGCGGATAGCCTCACAGTGCCATAGCCTCACAGTGCTGTGCCCAATCCCCTGCACCACCAGGGAGGCCTTCTCATTTCTTAACAACAGAAACCTTCTTAAAATCTCTACTCAGAAACTATGCTTTACTGAATGAACTGACACCCTTTCCTCTGCCCCACTCTCAGTCCAATTTCTATTTTCTTTTTCTATTTATAAGTTGCAAAGCAATCCCAGGCTGGACTTAATAGAACAAAGTGCATTTATTAATAATGTCTACAATAGGCAAAAGAGAGAAGAGCAGTAGTACACAGGGTGCTTCAGCCTGTCACAGGGCTCCATTTCTTAGCTACTGCTACATCATCCTTTACTTTCTACCCTTGTTCCCCCCTCTTCAGCCAGGAACAGCTTTCTCCTCACAGGACTTACTTAGCCGTGTCCAATCAGGAGCCATAGCCCCAGTATTACAAATGAAGGTAGTTGTCTGGATAGAATAATACAGAAAAGAAAATCAATTTCTTAGTTAATTTTAGGCTATGACACCTCATCATTTATAAATTAGATGTAGATGCCACTGTAAATTAGCTAGATGAACTAATCAGTTTCCAATGATTGGGAAGAAGTGACTTCCATTATTCCTGTTAAAAACTATGAAAGGAGAAGGGAAGAGGGGGATGGACATGGCAAAGGGAAATTATTCCTCCAACCCCAGTCAGAACTGTTTTCTGAGATATTAAAAATAAGAGATGTTTTCATATCGGTCATCTGATCCAGCATCCTTGTCTATGTGACTTTGGGTAATTTGCTTAACCTCTCTGTGCTTGATCTTTATTTTTAAGTGAGGCAATATTAGCAACTTCAAGTCATATTTTGTATTACATGAGCTAAGACAAGCACTCTGGGATGGTGCTTGATAAAAATTTAGTGTTGAATAATTGATGGCCGTGTTACTATTATCATTACCAGCATCACCATTTTTAGCACTGGACCATCATCACCATCATTGCTATCACCACCTCCACCTCCACCACCACCACCACCACCATTGTCATCATTATCATCACTTTTCACAGAAGCATAACCAGCCAACTAGTGGCACAGCTGGCACTAGAATCTTGGATTTCAGATTCCTAATTAAGTGATTTTTTTTCCACTGAAGACTCAAATTCTCAAGGCAAACCTAAAGAGGCTTTAAGTGCTTCATGCCCAATATTGTTGGTATGATAAGGTTTTTTTTTTTAATAGAAAAATAAAGTTCTCTTTTCTAAGTTGGTTCTTGATACTCAGAATAAAGGAAATCAATTACAGCTCATATGTGGGGGGAAACCACAAAAAGGCTCCTTAAGAAAAATTCTTATCTTTGCTATCAAGCGATAACCTTTAAGTAAATGGCTGGTAGGATGGAAATTTTCAATACTATTAAAGAGAAGAAATTGACAAAAATGAACAACGATGTAAGAAAATAAATAAATAAATAAATAAATAAATAAATAAATAAATAAATAAAGAGAGTAATTGAACCTGCCGTTTTCCAAGAGCATTGTTGTCTCACTGACGAGCTTCACTGGCCTGAGCAGGAGCTGCACTGCTGAAAGGAATAGTTTGGAATGGCTCTGATCTTACTGCTTGTCAAGGCTTCTTTCCAAAATGTTTTCACATGAGCACGCTGGTGTGACCTCTCTGACCTCCCGTATTGCTGGAAGGTAGACTCAGCAAGGCTGATGTATCATTATCATGATACCACTTTCCCATAGGCTGTGACCCTGTGTTGGTTTGGTGGCCAGACTTTTCTCTGGCTTGGGGGGATTCCTCACCACATGAGTCTTGGTAGGAGAGAGCCCACTTCTCCCGCAGGAACCAAGAAGTCGAAGTTTGCTTTCCTAGCTCCCATGGGGCCAGATGTGGCTACTGGCCTTGGCTTATCTCCTGCTCTGTGCAGAGGGGCTGGCAGAAGGCTTTCTAGAGCATCTGTGATCTCTGGCTCCCAGGGTGCTTGTGCCACAGACAGCCTCCTTTTGCTCCACCCAATTTTCCTGTTTTCCTATCTATTTTGTATAACTAACATGTTTATGTGTAACACGTTTTTTTCATTTTTCTTTTTGCTGAATCATCTGCAGTATAATTGTAGACATCATGACATTGTACCCTGGCATCTCTGACATACTCACAATGCAGTCATGCCCCATGTCTTTTCCATACATTTCTCTTCTGCTTTGGCAACCAGTGGCTGACTATAGCTGAGAATCCTGATGGACACATCTCTGGAATGGAAAAGCAGCTTGATGTGAGGAATGAGTAGGTATTGGGGAACAAGACACAGCTGAGTTGGAAATCTCTGATGTGGATCTAACTGACATTCTGAACTTCAGTAGGTCATTTATCTCTCCAGCACCCCTTTTCTCATTTGGGCAATAGTGAGGGTCTACCTTGCAATTTGTAGTGAGAAAGTGGCATGGTGCGTATAAGCACATAGTAGGTGCTCAGTAAATATTGAGTGCATGACCAAGTGACTCCAAACACTAGATCAGTGGCTCTCATACTTGGCTCTGTATGAGAGGCACTAAAGAACTTTTAAAGAATCTCGATGCCGGGTCACGCCCCAGATAAGTACATCAAAATTTCTGGGGGTGGGACCCAGATCCGGTATTTTTCAAGTTCCTATGTGATCTAGCATGCTGCCTACAAATAGAACCACGTCCTGCATGTTGGAGTGTGTGCCTTGTTGAGATGAAACAGAAACCTCGAAACCTCACAGGTGTTTGCCAGTTGTGGAAATGCATAGACCCAGCATGGACAGAATAGGTCTTGGTAAAGTCAGTTTCCTCTCGCCTGTGAGAGTCTTTGGTTAGGTGCAGCCTCCTGAGGGCAAGGTAGACACCAAAACTTCACGGAGCCTTCTGCAATGTCCCAGTATTCCCCTCCCATCTGCTGAAATTTGTGTCCTGTGCTTTCTGCTCAGGCCATATAACAAAGTCCCACAGACTTGGTGACTTGAACAACAGAAATGTAATGTCTCACAGTTCTCAAGACTAGAAGTTTGAGCTTAGTGTTGGCAGGCTAGTTCCTTGTGAGGCTGTGAGGGAAAATCTATTCCATACCTCTCTTCTAGCTTCATGGTCACTGACAATCTCCTGTGTCCCTTAGTTTGTAGTAACACAGCCTCAGTCTTTACATGGCTCTGTCCCTTTGTCCAAATTTCTCCTTTTTACAAAAGGGGAAATTGCAATAGTAATACTATATTGCAATAGTAATTCATATTTTTCTGGCCTGAATGATTGACAAAGATTTACTGCAATGAATGATGGAAGTTTAGAAAAGGAAGTACCCACCTTTATCTCTTCCTCCTACTTTGGTTACAATTATTTCAGCAATCTAACTCTGATCTTTGCCAATAATAAGGATAAAGAGAATAAAAAAAATCACTAAACATTGCTAATTTTTAAAAGCATCTTCTGTTTATTTTGAAAGTAAAGAAACCCCACAAATATTGGCTCTAATAGGAAATTATACATTTTTCTGGCTGGGTGCTTAGCAAGGAACTTCTTTGGGGAATTTTTCTTTAGTTTAACTGGAGAAGTTAAGGTTACTGAGGAAGGTTCTAGAAATGCAAACCTGGGTTGATGTCCTAAAGTAACTCCCATTCTTACTGAGGTCATCTAAGTTCTGGGGCTGCCCTGGGCTGGGAGGCACATTCCCAAAGATCAGAGTTTCTTTTCTCCCTGATTTTGTCCCAGAGTGTGTGGAGGTGGAGATGCTGTAACTAGGATCTTCCCTGGGAACCACTATGGGCATTTTAGGTTCTAGGCATGGTTGGAGATATTCAGCCCTGGGTCCAGGACAGCTTTTTCTACTACAGCAGGAGAAATATACCCACAAGAGTCCACTTGAGGTTGAACAGTGATTTTTCCATGAGTGGAGGGAGGAGAAAGCATGAAGGATTGTGGTCAAAGAATGTGGTGTGTGGTCACTGGTGTCTAACTTTCTGGCTACTCCTTCCGGCAGTCTCACCTGCGGCTCCGTTTCGGATAGATACTCCTCCTCCTCCCCATTCAGAATGCCCTTTCTCTGTGCCTCTTCTCTTGCATTCTTAAAGACTAGTTGAGAGCAGATTATTGATTAAAGATGACCCTCGGAGTTAGTTTATCGGGGATGCCAAAGCATTATTAGAAATGTAAAGAGCAGGACATAATTGTATTTAATTGTTCCCAGGGATATGACTAGATGTGTGGGAAGAAATACTTAAATAAGCATTCTAGGGTGTGCACGAATAGGGTAGAGAAGGAGATGGTGGACTGAGATTCTCAAAAGGCCTGTCCTAGAATGATATAAGGCCCTCAAACCTACCTGCCTTCTAAGCAAAATAGACTCAAAACCCATGGTGCTCGGTTTGGCCAAGAGGGTATGTGAGCTGGAGTCCTCTGCCCTCTGGGCCCTGGACTCAACCTACCCTCTGAATACAAATTAAACAAAATTTCAATTTTATCAGTCTGGAGAGGTGCCAAATGATTAACCTGACAGAAATCCATAGGTTAGCTCTGACCCCATAACTACCTCACTGTCTCCCTCCTTTTGCTGTTTATTCCCATACATGGTGAGCGTTCACCCCTCCCTCCCTTACTGATTAGCAAATTCTTGAGCATTCTAAAACTCCTGCAAAGCTGGCCACCCAATAGATCCCTGAAACTGAAGTGGGGAAAATGACTTACAAGCTCTTAAGTTTCCAGCTGATAAGTCTCCAGTTCAGAGACTGTGATAGAAGCTACTTTATTCAACAAGTGTATATTGAGTACTTACTCTGCAAAGGCATGCTCAAGGAACTATGGAAGAGTCTGGAATTCCCATTTTCAAGCAGTTGTAGCCAGATATTCCTAACTGGGACATAAATTAGAATCACCAAGTAAGATTTTCCAAAGGCCCCATCTAGAACTGAATCACGTTCACAAGGTTGGTCCCAGGTCTGTGAGGAATGGCAAAGTTTAAAGCATAGCTTTTATCTATACCTTTGGATATGAAGCTATGGGGTAGTATAAGGGCGGGTGTGTGTATCACTAGTTGAAAAACAAGATCAAGGATAACCACTGCCACAGAGGATAAGCAGTGCACTCTGAGAAGGGAAGACAAGGGAAGAAAGATTAATATCTATAAAGAAATAGCCTGGGGCAAGGAAGGTACAATGTGCCCCTGTGGCATGGCTTCCAAGAAACAAAACGTGGAATAATGACAGTCATCATTTTTTGCTCCTGCTTAGTACACAGTGAGAATGCCTGCTCCATGGTTGGCAGGGAGATAAGGCATGCACTTGTGTATCAGTGACACAAGGGGAAGAGTGACAAGTGATATTCTAAAGGGGGCAAGCAGAGTGCCATGGCAACCAGATTTACATACTGGGAAGGGCTTCCTGAGGGAGCTGAACTTTCAGCTGGGGACTGTAGGCTTGGAGGTAGAAGGGCAGGTGCTCCAGGTTCAGGTGACAGAATGACAGAATAGCCAGTGGCAGGAGATTGGGGAGAAGAATGTCTAGAAAAGGCCTTTTATGGTTGTATCTCAAGATACTTGGGGCTGGAGGCTTAGGGTGGGATAAGATTGGAAAATTCACCTGAACCAGATTGTAGGGGGCATGCTAAGGTATTTGGGTTTTATTTGTACATAATGAGGAACCACCCTGGTGTCACTTCAGAGGATGGCTTCAAGGGGAAAGAGAGGAGCAATGGGAAAGATGCTGAGGAAGTAACACCATTTGGGATGGAGTCTTGGACCTGTAATGGCAAGAACATCTCTAAGGGGCACTGGGAAGACAGTCAATAGGGCTTGGCTATGGGAGGGGAGGGATATAAAATGCAGGATTCCAAGATGATTCCACTTTGGAGTGTGGATGACTGGAAGGAAGCTGGTGCCATCAACCAAGCAGGGGGGAAATATTTTAGGTGGAAGGTGACAAACCTGCACTGCTGCCTCAACATCCACCTGGACAGGAGGGAATGTTGGAGGAATCTTGGCCAAGGTGGGTGTTTATTAATTGGGGCCATCAGAGTTGAACTACTGGCAGGGTGGTAACAGTATCTTGTTCATCTTCATGTCTTCCAAATAAATATTTTGTGCAGGAAGTAGCACTTTGTGCAATTCATTCCTTTAACGAGCGATTTATGGACTAAATATACATCCTCCAGTCTGCATACTAGAAACTGGAAATATGATACAGAACACATGTCCAGTTTAGTTGTAGGTGTTTAGAATCCCAACTTCATTCTAATTATGCTTATTTGAGAATATTGCTACTTTTGCAGACAGATGCGTCCACAGTCAGCAACAACTGCAAAACCAGCTGGGATGGACAACATTACAGGGAAAAGATCATCTTGCCAGCAAGCTGTCTGCACAATTTTCACACATAATTGAGTTTCATCCCTCATAAAGTGAAGGATGGTCCTTTCTGGGACTCCCTTCATGTTTTAGAAAGCCATGTCTCCATGTCTAAAGGAATAAATGGAGGGATGAATGATGAACTCAGAGCCCAAGAAACATTTTTTTCTGGGTGGCAATATAAAATTTACAGTTGGGAAGCCGCTTTACTCACAAGAGTGGGCATGGTGTGACGTATTTCTTTCGCTCCCACCCCCACAGCCATAGCACCCTCAATGTTGCACCGTCTCCTCCATCCTGCCCAGACCATTTCCTTATGCCTCTACTCCAACTCTGTCCACCTTTGCCTACACCACCAAACTCCTTTCAGTAGAAGGAGGCACCCTCAAAGTTGAAGGCACCTGGGGAATGTGGTGTTAGGGGAACATTGGACCCCTGCTGCCAGCAGAACCAGCATTGCCTGAGCAGACTTTTGAGGTGGCTGCGGAACTTGATTCCAACAAAGACATAGAGCACCGGGTTGAAGCAGCAGTGGGAGAAGGCAATGATGCGGCAGATCATCACGGCTTCCCGAATATGGTTTATGGTGTGACAGCTTTGTATGACTCCAAGATCTTTTAGTGACTGCGCAAACAGCATCAGGTTGTAGGGAGCCCAGCTGAGGAAGTATACCACCACGATGGTGAAGATGAGCCTGACTGTCCGGTGGCGCTGTTTGGACCGCGAGTGGAGCAGGGTCTTGAGAATCTCCATGTAGCAGAACAGGATAGATGCCAGGGAGACCAAGAAGAAGAAGTTGTGCGTGTAGACTGAGAGTACAAACCACTTCGTTTCTGAATAACGACAGGCACCTGAAATGCTCGTATGGAACATGGCATCAGGGATGGCAAACAGGATGCTGCCTATCCACACGACTGCAATCACTACCACGCGGAATTTGAGGGTGTGGATGCGCAGGGAAGAGAGGGGGTTCACTATGGACTCATAACGGTGAATGGTCATGATGGTGAGGAAGAAGATGCTGCTGTAGAGGCTGACGGAGAAGACCATGCTGTTGAGCTTGCAGTAGAAGTCACTTGACACCATGCCCTTGTAGTTAACAAAGATCAAATAAGGCAATGTGAAGGAGAACAGCAGGTCTGAGAGGCACAGATTGAGGATGAAGACGTTGGTGAGGGATTCCAGGCTCTCATACTTCAGCAGGACACACAACACCAGGCTGTTGCCCAGCAGGCTGAAGAAACACACCAAGGTGTACAGGGTGCTGATGGTAGAGGTGGCAGCATTGAAGTTCCCATACTCACACAGAAAGCTATTACTGTCATAATCATAGGTGATGGTCCCCGGGCTGCTCGAGAGCTCCATTAGATGTTGAGAGTGTCTGAAATGATAGAGGCATGGAATTTAAAGCCACATGGTTGGGCTCAGGGGTTAGGATCCATATTACAAAAAAAGTGGCCCAAGACTTACTCCTCATTGAAAACTGTAGTGGGGTAAGACCTTTCACCAGAACATGAAGTCACTAATCGCACTGTTTAGTTTGGTTAGCATTTCTTTTTTTTTTTTTTTTAAGATTTGTTTTTATTTATTTATACAAGCACTGGGGTACAGGCAGAAGTGCGGGAGGGTGAGAGAATTCACCAGAGCCAGAGCGGGGAGCAGAGCAGGCAGACTGACGAAACACACTGCTGAGGGGAGCAGCGGGCGGCAGGAGAGGTCTGCACGCCATGTGGGACCCTCGCCCGGTGGCCGGGGATCGAACCAGCGCTGCAGAGGCTGCAGGCAGCTTTGCAACCCAGCGCGCAACCGCTGCGCCACGGGGGAGGCCCTGGTTAGCATTTCTTTTTCAGTGTGATTTTCTTCATGAAGGATGCAGTGCACAAGTTTGCATTCTGTCACAAGCCTTTCTCTCCATGAAGACTGCTGTTTGAGTAGCACAAGCTAGACAGCTATACTCAGCAGGTATAGGGAAGGAGCAGTAGAACTCGATTTGAGATACTGAGATCAAATATGGGTCCCCTTATTTTGCTCTTGGGAAAGCTATTTGACCTTTTTGAACCGTACGTCCTCATCTATAAAATAAGGCTAATGATTCCAGAGTCATTTCTTCAACAAACATCTAGTGAACATTTACTCTTCCTCTCCTCCTCTCATCTCTTCTTCCCTCCTCTCCTCCCTTTCTATTTTCCTGTGCTGCTCCTTTCCTTCCTAAAAAGTGCAGAATTCCGATAGCAAGGTTGTGTTAAGAAACTTTCTGTTCCAGGCCTCCCTGGTGGAGCAGGCGGTTGAGCGCCACACTGTGAAGCTGTCCACAGCCTCTGCAGTGCAGGTTCAATCCTGGCCGGCTGGGGAGAAACCCACATGGCGCAGCAGACCTCTCCTGTCTTGCCTGCTGCTCCCCTCAGCAGTGTATTTCAGTAGATCTGCCTGTTCTGCCCCCCACTCTGTCTCTGGTGAATCCTCTCACCCTCCTGTGCATCTGGTCTGTGCCCTGGTTCTTGTATAAATAAATAAATCTTAACAAAAAAAAGAAACTTGCTGTTTCTTGGAACAGGTGGAAGAAGAGAGGATACAAAGGAAGCAAACATCTTTCATATAAACCAAAGTATGAAATAATGTCAAGACTACAATGGACACTGAGACTTTGAGAGATCAGACTTTCCCTCCCAGGAAGGATCAACTCTCAGAGCAGAAGGCTTCTTCACACAGGAGTTCTGAGCTTCTTACAGATGCAAGTAAGTGGAAACAACCCAAGTATCCAATAGGAGGGGAGTCATCGAGAAAACAATATTGAATCAAGTTGATTTAATCATTTGAATTAGTTAGGTTTTAGATAGAGAATAGAGGGTCAAGGAGAAACAAGACAAAGTAAGCGCTGGCAGAGCTGGAATTTTAGTTCAGAGAGGGAAGTAAAGTCATTGTTCCTTAAAGAAAGAGGATGGGAAACTTGGATTAAGCACTGCCTGAGCAGGGGAGGGAGTTCTAATCACCTGCTATGTGCGAGACACTGGGCTAATCCATTTCACTCACCGCTCCTTTTATCCTGCCTTTCACTGGTAGTTATGACAACCTCTCTTTTACAGAAGAGGAAATTGAGGCTCAGATGATCTGTGATCCTGAATAATGCCATGGGAATGGGTTGGTAAGAGGATTTTGCAGCCCTTGTACTATCAGGTTATCAATGCTAGATTATTTATTTTATATAAAAGAGAAAATCTGAGTTCTACTTTTCAGTAATCCCAATAAACTCGGATGAGATTAACCCTTCTATGCATAAGAATTATAAACCCTAGAATAGAACCAAAAACAAAATTGAAAATCTTCCTGGAGGCACTGTTGAGCTACCAAATGATGGTAAATACCGGAAGGGATAAGGTATTTGAAAAAAGAGAGCAGCTATATAATATTTTAAACCAATGCTACATCAATTTAAAAAAAAATAAATAAGGGCCTCCCCTGGTGGCGCAGTGGTTGAGCGCTGGGCTGCGAAGCTACCTGCAGCCTCTGAAGTGCCGGTTTGATCCCCGGCCACCGGTGAGGGTCCCACATGGTAGGACAGACCTCTCCTGTCGTGCCTGTTGCTCCCCTCAGCAGTGTATTTCATCACTCTGCCTGTTCTGCTCCCCGCTCTGGCTCTGGTGAATTCTCTCACCCTCCTGCACTTCTAACTGTACCCAGTGCTTGTATAAATAAATAAATAAATCTTAAAAAAAAAAAAAAGATAAATAATACAAGTGAGGAATCCTTTAAAAAAAAAAAAGATTCAACGTTTCCTTACATTCTTTTTGTTTTGCTGCCAGTATATGTATGGAGGATTTGCGTCATGACTTTCCAAAACAGATAATAAAATACCATTTTTTCTTACTGTTCTTGTTAACCATTATCTGGTGGGAATCATTCTATGTCAAGTGATACAGCTCTAATGTGCTCTTTTTTTGGCTGCATCGTGGATATACAATGATTTATCCAGCCATAATATGTCTAATATTAAAAAAAAAGAAAAAGAAAAAGAGCCGAATGGCATAGGATGAGATTTCCTTTTTTATGCCTTTCACCTAAAGACAGGACCTGGTCATGAGAAGCAGCGAAAGTTCTAGCAGAAAACTCACAATTTTTCAATCTTAAAAACTAATCAATCAAGTTTAGGGCAACTACAGTTCCTGGAAAGTTGAGGGGGGAAAGTCACAGACAGCAAAGGGCTAGAGAGTGAGAGCCCCAAATTCCTTATGTGCACCTGCCCCAATATTTGACCAGTTCCTGAACCATGAATGCACCAGTGTCTGGGAGAACAGAGCTGAGATTTGAGTGGCTGCCCAAGTCAGGGAAGACAGAGTTTATAGAGTTTGAGACAATCAGGTTAATTTTCTGTTTAAGCAAACAACCAACCAATACTTTCCAGAAGAACGAAACAGAATCCAGTCTCTTAAAACGTTACCTAGGATAGCACAACATTCAGGATACTAGACAAAAGTATTTGGCATATAAAAAAATGGGAAAGCATGGCCTGTACTAAAAAGAAAAGACAATGAAAAAACTGGTCCTGTGCTGCTCCAGATGTTACATTTTGCCAATAAGATTAAAATACAACCACATTTTAATAACAGCACAAAACACAGCAAAGCAAAAACAGACAATTATGAGTCAGAGACATCCTGCAGGGCAGGAGGAGGGAGAGGGGTGGGAGGGAGGGAGGAGCACAGGGGACTGAGGTGATGGTGCATGGGTGCCTTGGGGAAGGAAATTCTATGGGGACTACACTTGAGGGGTGGGGGAAGCAAATATTGTTTAAAAAAATTAAAAAATTAAAAAATAAAATAAAATAAAACCACGTGACAATGCCTAAGGCAACAAAAGAAACCATATTGATAATGAATGAAAAGATAAAATGTCTCAGCAGAGAAAAACAAATCATACAAAAGACAGTAAATCAGTAAAAATGGGATATCAAGTAAATGGGATATCATTTACTTTAAATCAGTAAAAATGGAATATCAAGAAAAAGCCCAATAATTTAGTAGTGAAACAACATAATTCTCTTGATTCGTGTCTGAGTCAAAACCAAAATGATGAAACAAAGTATAAAATATTTTGAACTGAATAATAATGACAATAACATATTAAAATTCTCTGGCTACAACTAAAGAAGCACTTTGAAAGAAATCTAGTTTTAAATGCTTATACTAGACAGAAAAAAAAAGGTGTAAAACCAATTATCTAAAAATTAGTGTGCTAAAACAGCACATTTAGGGCCTCCCGTGGTGGCGCAGCAGTTGGCCGCTGGGCTGTGAAGCTGCCCACAGCCTCTGGAGTGCCGGGTTCGATCCCGGGCCTCCGGCGAGAGTCCCACATGGTGCGACAGACCTCTCCTGCCGCACCCGCTGCTCCCCTCAGTAATGTATTTCGTCAGTCTGCCTATTCTGTTCTCTACTCTGGCTCTGGTGAATTCTCTCACCCTCCCGCGCTTCTGACTGTACCCAGTGCTTGTATAATAAATAAATCTTTGAAAAAAAAATAAAATAAAACAGCACATTTAGCCTTCTACTCCACAATATTATTTGAACTAAAAAACTCAGCTGAAAATTACCCAACTATTAGAAATAATAATAGCTTACATAAAGACTTGTAACTAAGTAAGTCCTAAACTTTCTTTAGCTTAAGGAAAAGAAAAACAGTATATAACAGTTCCAGTCAAAGTATGGTCTACAGAGAGTCTTTTTAGCAAAGCAGATTTTTGGGAATCCCCAGACCTGTGGAGTCAGGACTCAGAAGTCTGCAGGTTTACCAGCTCTCCACGTGATTCTGAATTCCACCAAACTCCTGGTATAGGCAATTAAAATTAGAGGAAAACATAACTTTAAAATGTCTGTAAAGGAACTCACCTGTACTACACCATTTTATACCTCTGCCTGACTCAATACTGGAACTGTGCTTCTCCTTATGCTTTAGTTAAGGATCTGAAACAAATTCAGGAGAATTGGCTATGCTCTATGGGTATCTCCCTGGGCAGGGCTTGAACTCGTGCTGCAGGGGAGGCTGCCAGATAGCTTCATAGTGCAGTGTCTTAACCCCTCGTGCCACCAGGGAGGCCCTGGACACTGACCTTAAATGAGATCCAAAAATTAACTGAAAATGGATTAAAATCCCAATATTAAGAGCTAAAGCTATATAACTTTTGTGTGTCAAAGGATGCTATCAAGAAACTGGAAAAGAACTGTTAAGAATTACATGAACTCATTTATTAGCTTAAATTGATTTTTTGGCTAATTTAAACATTTGCATTTATCAAATTATTTCATTTGCTTATGATTTCTTTCCTTCCAATCTAGAAGCCTTTTTTTTTCTTTCCTAATTGCCCTTACTGAACTTCCAGTACAATGCTGTGAGAGAGGAGAGCCTTGATTCCAGCCTTTCCCTGTAAAGTGTGATAAGAATTTTCATCAGAATTTTAATACATGGCTTTTATGGGACTGAAGAAGATCCTTCTATTCTCAGTTTGTTGAATTTTTTTTTTAAGTCATGAAACTGTGTTAGATTTTTGTCTTGTATTCCAGACACATTCTTTCTTATTTCGATGGTGGATTAGCAGAACAATTTTTCTCCAGCATCAGGATCCATCATCCCAGCCAGCACAGTAAATACCTTTTTTGTCTATTGATTCAGGGGTATGAGGAACCCAAAGTGGCCAGTGCCAGTCTTTTTAGTTCAATGGACTTTTCATTGGGGAAGAATGATTGTGAATGAATCACCAGGGTATGGGAGCTTGGGTTATCATGTGCCTCAACTATTCTGTATCTTTGCCTTGATTATTTTTGCTTTGACTATTCTGTGCCTTTCAGTGTTATAGAAACAGGGAAAGTTGATAAGGGAAGTCCTGACTGTAGGCCAGACAGGAGAGGGAAATAGCTCCTCTAGCAGCTCGGTAGCAACAATGGGCCTCTGTTGATGCCACATGAAAAAGAATTACCCAGCTGAGTCCTGGCCCAAGCTGTTGAGTCACAAAATTATGATATATAATGAAATGGCTTTTATTTTAAGACTTTATATTTGGGGGTGCTTTATTACACACTTGTTAGAACACATAACACTGACAGTGTGGGGAAAATCCCCAAGCTGACTTTCCATCCTTCCTGCACACATCCTACTCAGTCTCCCCCTTTAACGTGGCTTTAAGAGAGGTGTCTTCTCTGCCTAGCTTCCATTAAAACCCAGTTGGGAAATCCCTGAAGTGCGACCTGCCTGACTTACCATGTAGTGCTGACAGAAGAATTGTTCTGGGTCATCCCTTAAATCTTCACAGGGTACCCCTTCGGTCTCGGGCGGCAGTGAAATCACCTACTCCCACCTACTCACAGCCCTTTCTGTGACAGCTGTTCTCCCACCCAACCACACCTGGGCCTGGCTAGAGTGTGTTTACATTGAGAACTGGGGGGACTCAGTGGCTGGCTGGGGTGGTTTCTCTTTCCAGCCCCTTTGCTCCCTCGGTCAGACCTGTCTCAGGCAGAGCAAACCACTGCTGTCATCACCAAGACTGGTTTGTGAGGAATTCAGAGGATAGTTGGTTGCTAGAAGACTAAACTCCTTAGGTCTGTCCTGAAAGTGGGGAGAGTTATAATGGAGCCTTTTTTTTTTTTGTGGGACCCTCACTGGAGGCCGGGGAATGAACCAGCGCTGCAGAGGCTGGGGGCAGCCTCTCACGCAGCCCAGTGCTCAACTGCTGCACCACCGGGGAGGTCCT